ATGTCTCTCACAAATGCCTACAATGAACACATTTCTTACAAACAGCTACCTACAAATCGCAATGAATACATTGAAATGCGATCTAGCTATGTATGTGACTTTAACAAACACAATGAAAGAACTTATGGGTATCAAAGGGAGAATGGAAGAGACCTTCACTGGTGTTCTTCTAGAAGCTAAAAAGGCTGTAGTGGTTTATGGTAAATCTTTATTCCTAAAGCGGAGTTCCACCCAAAAGGGGAAGTTCCGCTTTAAAGATTGGTCCCCCGCTCCCCATTAAGGATTGGCACCTTTGGGGAGCGGGGGGGGGGGGGGGGGGTAGTGGGTACCCAAAATTGATTGACAGGTACCCGCTCCCACTTCCTCTGTGATCGCCTAGGTGATCAGAAGCAGAAAATATAAAAAATATATAATCCCCCTGCGCTCCACTGGTATGAACAAACAAACCCCAAATATATGCAAGCTGCTACCACCTATTCCCAATACCACAGGATGTATGACATAAAAAAACAATATTGGTGAAGCGCTTCACATGAAATACTAAATAAGTAGGTGCAATGATATAAAAATACATATAAAGTGACCACACTGTATTGAAAGGTATTGATAACTAATGCTAAATAATCCCCCAAAAAAAATATATAAGTGCCAAATGCTGAAAGTGCAAAACAGGTCATGTGTTTGCTGACTAGATCATGCCAAAATAAAATATATGCACAGTAAACATAATACACAATAACATTGCACACTCTAACTGAAAGTGGAAAGTGCTCAGTAGGGTATGAATATAGGTTAAAAGTAAAATCCACAATAAAGTGCAAAACAGGTCATGCGTTTGCTGACTAGACCGTGCCAAAATACAATATATGCACAGTATACATAATACACAATAACATTGCACGCTCTAACTGAAAGTAAAAAGTGCTCAGTAGGAGTATGAATATTGGTTAAAGTAAAATCCACAATAAAGTGCAAAACAGGTCATGCGTTTGCTGACTAAATCGTGCCAAAATACAATATATGCTCAGTGAATTAATACACAATAACATAGCACACTCTAACTGAAAGTGACAGGTGCTCAGTAGGAGTATGAATAATGGTAAAAAGTAAAATCCACAATAAAGTGCAATAACAAAGTGCTTGACATTTCATGTGCAAACACGCAATGTCAGTGCTTTAATTCTTCACTCTAAACATGATGCGTGTTAGCATGCCACATGTGTATATCGTAATACAAAAATGGCTAAAGTGCCTCCTCACCTTAACCATGCGACCCCTAAGGGCCACAATGCTTTAGGTAATATAGCTTCACCAGACTGGGAATCTCTGTAATAATACTCCTGTAGTACCACTCGATCTCCTCTGCCAGGTTACTTATGCCCTCAGATGGTAATACCCCCGGGATAATCACAATGCCATAGAGAGGTAGACAAAGAGAGCCTCCATAGTGAAATGCCGTTTATTCCATATAGCAGATGAAAACAAGCCAAAAGAGAACACTCACAGTATAGCAGATCTCATACAGCTGGTCTCCCATGTGCTGTGGGTGTACTGCAAGGTGCTAGGTGTCCAAAGATGGCGTCTGCCGAAAGTGTGTAACCAGAAGTACATCACTGCGCTCTACGCGTTACTCCACGATATCACGTGTTTAGCCCATGGATTGAAAAAAACGAACTAATTATGGCCAGCTTAAATCAATCACATTTTCTGTTTGTCAATATCTAGTGGAACATTTAAAAAATCTGTCGATGACTGAATCACAATTGGGACCCTGTTGAAACCTTCCCCTTAGGTTTCAGTTGTATTCATCTTGAAATGTTCTCTGGAAATCTAATTCACTGTAATATTTATAACATGAAAACAAAAACATATTTATTTGACTATTATTTGCTCCTTTGCAGATCAGAAACATTTGATTTTATAAACAATAATATATCACTCTTACCTAGTGCACCTTATATTCAAATTTGAATTTCCCAGCATCTGCCTTTCCATCTTTTTCCACCAGGAAGCCCCACATGTCCCTAACCTCACCTGCTTGTCATAGCGTCTGCTGTGAGAGTCAATATACGAACACTTGGACAGATGGCAGTGTTTGATCTTGAAAAGGCATATGTGCAAATAATTGGAAGACTGCATACAGGTATGTTTTTTCTATAATATTTGCTTGTATTTATTTTTCATCTTGCAAATCACTTTCTGCGCACAAGTATTTATAGCCAACAGGATGCTATATTCCAACCCTGGAAGGGCATTTATGGGGCATTGGGATCCCTTCACTGTATGCTTTCATCCAGGGGCGGACTGACCATTTGGAAACTCGGCACTGCCTGAGGGCCCGGGGTCAGTAGGGGGCCCCATGAGATGCTCCTGGTACCTTTTTTCATAGGCTTTTTTGAGTTTGGGCGCACAGGGGCCCCATGATCCCCTATTGCCCGGGGGCTCCATGAGTTGTCAGTCCGCATCTGCTTTCATCATAGAATCTGTTACCTATGCAGGGCCGGATTTACATCTCAGTAGCCTACAGGCAGAGAATTATGGTGTTGCCACCTTAGGATATAATATGTGATACTGGCAGGATCTCCAGGCTGACATAACACAAAAAAGGCAGAAATAAAGAAAACTAATGTAGCCACCAGGTCTAAGCTGCAACTATTATTACATTTTTGTTCTTGGGTTCGGAAACTCTTTAAGTGATCAGGTAGGAAAGTGTTAAATGTTAAGTGGTTGCTTTAGACATGACTTTTTTTACTGATTAGATTGATGTTTCTGATTGAGTATTTCAGTGTAGGTGTCAGTGTTACAATTTACCTCTAAATTACATTGTGGGTGGCCGTCTTTAATAATTATGTTCAATGTCTGGCACAAAGCGCTGTCCCTAAAGGCAGATTCCATGCAGCTTTCTGTTGTACTGTGAGGGTTTTAATCAGAGACGGCAACGTTGATTTTTCACTGCTGATTACTGAGTCTCATTAAAAATAGTCACCGTGCAAACAGGTCAATAGTCTGAAGCAAGTCAGATGCTGAGACTGCCTTGGCTCTCTCCCAAGTGTTTAGTCATTTTTAGCAAGCAGCAGCCCCAAATCCCAGCCTGTCCTTGATTTTTCCTTTGTCATCTGACCTCAGCGACTCCCTAAATGAGTTACTCTGCATGCAACTATTTGATTTAAAAGGTGACTTACACTGTAATACTTATTTTGTTATGCTGCAAGACTGAAAAACCTTGCATTAGGGACGAGCAAAGTCCACAAACTGTTTTGTAAATCTTGCTTGAAGTTCAAGAACAGTGCTGCAAACTGCATTGAAGTCTATGAGGGTAAATCCTGTTTTCCCCTTATGAATATTTGTAGGGATGATAAGCTATTGTTAAAACAAAATGCATGGGAAGCCAACACTGCTATAGGGGATATAGACCAATGCCAAAATAAAAACAGTAAATAAAAACAGTATCTCTTCCTACACATAATTATTAGCTCCCTCTAGCACCTCCAACAAACTCTGACAATATGGTTGCTGTGAGCCCACACTTTTATAAAAAGAAGTTGGGGATGTCCGTTCCTTCAAATTATTGCCGCGTGACTCTGCTCATTCTGCAAATATGGAAGAAAAATATATTTCAAATATATTTTAAAAATATTGTTCCCAAATATATTGATATATATTTGAAATGCTATAATTTTGGCTATATTCAATATATTTTAAAAGATATTTCAATAAAAAAATATATATATATATATATATATATATATATATATATATATATATATATATATATTGCATGTTGAAATGCATTTTTGTTACAAAATATATGAAAAATATTTTTAAAAATACATTTCAAAGAAACTGTATTTCTTTAAAAATACAAGTCTACATTTTTAGAATGCATTTACAAATATATGTAAAAATATATGTTAAAATTACTTTTTAAAAATTCTGAAGAATATATTTAAAAATATATTTTAAAAAATACTTTTCATATATTTTGTAATATATAAAAAATGCATTTCAACATGCAGTATATATATACAGTATATATATATACCGTATTTTTCGCTCCATAAGACGCACCTGACCATAAGACGCACCTAGGTTTTAGAGGCAAAAAACAAGAAAAAAAATATTCTGAACCAATGGACTGCAGACACAGTACAGGGGATGACCAGAGACTGCGGACACAGTACAGGAGATGACCAGAGACTGCGGACACAGTGCAGGAGATGACCAGAGACTGCGGACACAGTGCAGGAGATGACCAGAGACTGCGGACACAGTGCAGGAGATGACCAGAGACTGCGGACACAGTGCAGGAGATGACCAGAGACTGCGGACACAGTGCAGGAGATGACCAGAGACTGCGGACACAGTGCAGGAGATGACCAGAGACTGCGGACACAGTGCAGGAGATGACCAGAGACCAGCGGACACAGTGCAGGAGATGACCAGAGACTGCGGACACAGTGCAGGAGATGACCAGAGACTGCGGGCACAGTGCAGGAGATGACCAGAGACTGCGGACAGTGCAGGGGATGACCAGAGACTGCAGACAGTGCAGGGAATGACCAGAGACTGCAGACAGTGCAGGGAATGACCAGAGACTGCAGACAGTGCAGGGAATGACCAGAGACTGCAGACAGTGCAGGGGATGACCAAGAGACTGCAGACAGTGCAGGGATGACCAGAGACTGCGGACACAGTGCAGATGACCTGCGGACACAGTGCAGGGGATGACCAGAGACTGCAGACAGTGCAGGGGATGACCAGAGACTGCAGACAGTGCAGGGGATGACCAGAGACTGCAGACAGTGCAGGGGATGACCAGAGACTGCAGACAGTGCAGGGGATGACCAGAGACTGCAGACAGTGCAGGGGATGACCAGAGACTGCAGACAGTGCAGGGGATGGGATGACCAGAGACTGCAGACAGTGCAGGGGATGCCCAGAGACTGTAGACAGTGCAGGGGATGCCCAGAGACTGTAGACAGTGCAGGGGATGACCAGAGACTGCAGACAGTGCAGGGGATGACCAGAGACTGTAGACAGTGCAGGGGATGACCAGAGACTGCAGACAGTGCAGGGGATGACCAGAGACTGCAGACAGTGCAGGGAATGACCAGAGACTGTAGACAGTGCAGGGGATGACCAGAGACTGACCAGGGGAGACTGTAGACAGTGCAGGGGATGACCAGAGACTGTAGACAGTGCAGGGGATGACCAGAGACTGTAGACCAGAGTAGACAGTGCAGGGGATGACCAGAGACTGTAGACAGTGCAGGGGATGACCAGAGACTGTAGACACAGTACAGGAGATGACCAGAGACTGCAGACAGTGCAGGGAATGACCAGAGACTGCAGACAGTGCAGGGAATGACCAGAGACTGCAGACAGTGCAGGGAATGACCAGAGACTGTAGACAGTGCAGGGGATGACCAGAGACTGCAGACAGTGCAGGGGATGACCAGAGACTGCAGACAGTGCAGGGGATGACCAGAGACTGCAGACAGTGCAGGGAATGACCAGAGACTGCAGACAGTGCAGGGAATGACCAGAGACTGCTGACCTTTAGGGAGGGAGGGGGAGCGGGTACCTGAATTTGACAGGTACCCGCTCCCACTTCTGCGGAGTTGTCCTTCCCTCTTCTTCCCGGGCCAGCTTCTGTGACAGCCGGGTGTCCACTGTGCACATGTGCTGCGCTTTGTGAATGGCCCGGCGCCTTCTGGGACCTGTCATGTGTCCCAGAAGACACCGGATCATTCACAAAGTGCAGCACATGCGCAGTGGGCCCCCGGCTGTCACAGAAGCCAGCGCGGGAACACTGGAGCGAGGAACAGGTAAGGCCCTGCAGGAGAGAACAGCTGAGCGGCCGGCCCGCTTTTCTGACATGGTGGCCTCAGAAATACCGGACCGGCCGCTTTATATTCGCTCCATAAGACGCACTGACATTTTCCCCCCTTTTTTGGGGGGAAAAAAGTGCGTCTTATGGAGCGAAAAATACGATATATATATATATCTATCGAATATGGCCAAAATTGTAGCATTTCAAATGTCAATATATTTGGGAAGAATATTTATAAAATATATTTCAAATATATTTTTCTTCCATGTGGGTATGCTCTACTATATAGATTATTCCTTATTTCTCCCATTTAGGTAAAATTTATTCTGCACTCCAAATGTGGGAAAAACACATTGAGAAATTGTTACTCCATGGTTATAATTACATAATATTAGTGTTGGGACCATGTACAAGTGAATTTGAAACACATACAAATGAATTTAAAATAAATTATCAGGAAAGCAAAAGTGTCAAATCTAATATCAATGTAATATAAAATGTAGATATATGAATATATACACTATATTGCCAACATTATTGGGACATCCCTCCAAATCATTGGATTCAGGTGTTCCAATCACTTCCATGGCCACAGGTGTATAAAATCAAGCACCTAGGCATGGAGACTGCTTCTACAAACATTTGTGAAAGAATGGGTCGCTCTCAGGAGCTCAGTGAATTCAAGCGTGGTACTGTGATAGGTTGCCACCTGTGCAGTATATCCATCCATGAAATTTCCTTGCTACTAAATATTCCACAGTCAACTGTTAGTGGTATTATAACAAAGTGGAAGCAACTGGAAGTCCTGACCTCAACCCGATAGAACACCTTTGGGATGAATTAGAGCGGAGACTGCCAGCCAGGTCTTCTCATCCGACATCAGTGCCTGACCTCACAAATGCACTTCTGGAAAAATGGTCAAACATTCCCATAGACACACTCCTAAACCTTGTGGACAGCCTTCCCAGAAGAGTTGAAGTTGTTATAGCTGCAAAGGGTGGGCCAACTCAATATTGAACCCTACGGACTAAGATTGGGATGACATGAAAAGTTCATGTGCGTGTGTTAAGGCAGGTGTCCCAATACTTTTGGCAATATTGTGTGTGTGTATATATATATATATATATATAGTAATAATATATATTGTAAATAATTGGGATCCTGCAAAGTTTGTGATTAGTGAACATCATTGTTGATCAGTATATATTTCCTTCTTTTGTTAAAACCACCCATCTGCAAATATGTCTTCCTTCTTATCTTAACCATTCATCACCAAGGAACCAACACAATCACCTGCAGCAAATGCCATCTCCATTACCTTTGTATCCATGTTTTTTTACTTCCCTCTGTGCTTGTTTTGTCTGTAGTCTGCACTCTGTTATCCATTTTATTACATAATTCATCTATGTGTAAAATGCTGGTGATTTACAATATTAATAAAGCAAAATAAAAATAATAAAAAAACTGCAAAAACAACACTGTTTTTGTATGTTGCCATATATTTATTGAACAGATGGTTCAACGGATCAAGGTCATGGATGGAAAAATTGTGGTAACTTATGGGATAATGACATCTTGAAACAGAATTATTGAAATTAGGTATTCCGTCAATAAGGATACATTGCTCTTTGTTATCCCGAGTAAATCAATATAGAGGATAATATGGTCTTTTGTTCCATGAGCACCTTTAGAACAGCCATACTGTGATAAAGATTTTATTTGATCCTTATATGTATACGGAAGCTACAGAGAGATGCAAAAATGTGCAGCACTCAACCAATTTAATCCAAATAAACCCACTTTATCATGGGAGGGATTACCCACTGTAATGCAATTTGCCAGCTGTTTATATGACATACATGAGAGCTGCTCAAATATAATATTGTTTTGTGACAGAATTACATATACAGTATTAAAAGACAAAAAAATAGATTTTTTTTTTATAGTCACAAGGTGTTGTCACCACCTTATGTATTTTGTAAAATACTATGTAACAACCATATATTAATAATAAATTGCTCTAACATTTTTAGTTAAAAGTTTTGGCAGCAATGTAGTTTAACCCCTTGACCTCCAGAAGGTTTTACCCCATTCGTGACCAGGGCATTTTTTTGCTATTCAGCACTGTACTACTTTAACTGGCAATTGCTTTATTTTGGTGTTATTTGATCACCACTGGGTTTTTTATGTTTTATTATATAAACAAAAAAAGACTACATTTTGGGGGAAAATTAAATCAAAGTTAGCCCAAAATGTATTCTGCTACATGTCTTTGGTTAAAAAAAAATCTCAATATATAGCATCTACAAACTATGGTATATATACTGAAATTTACACAACTGTGATGCTGTACTTGTAATGGTGGTGATCAGTGACTTATAGTGGCACTGTGATACTGTGAAGGGCAATCTGGCTCTAGCTGACGCTGGCTGGGAGGTCCACTGACTAAATTACACCGATATCAGTCCTGACACTAATAAAGTGATCAGTGCTAATGCTGTACACTGTGCTATTGATACTGACTGGGAAGGGGTTAATATCAAGGGTCAATCAAAGGGTTAACTGTGTGCCTAATAAGTGTGTAATATGTACTTCTTTTACTTACAGATCTCGCCTTTTTTTGCAAAGCAGGGAGAAACAGCCAGATCGTTGATCTATGTACAGAGCCCTGTGTGTTTGCTGTGTGCTCTGATTGGCTGCAGCTGATCAGCAGGTCTCAGCCACAAATCATTGACTGAGACCTGATCACAAAATCCTGTTGTAGCCATTGACAGAGGGGGTTAGCAGCTGGCGTGTGCATGTGCGCCCCTAACCCGGAACAGGCTGGATCATGTACATGTACGTGATCCAGCCTGGTCGTGCCGCCCGCCCACAGTAAATGTACTGTGGGTGGGAGGGAAGCACACTTCATTTTCATGCTTTTTCAGTCCCTATATTAGCCTGTCTACAGTATGTGCCTTTACTGGGTACATTTGTTCAGGGGTGTATTTAGATTTTTTTGCTGCCCTCGGCAACACAAAAATCAGATGCCCCCCCTGGCAGAGAGAGCCTGACATCAACTAACACCAGACCCCCTACCCACTCTCCCCCCGGAGAGAGCCTGACGGTGACCAGCAACACTCTTGCCCTCACCCCACCCAAGAGAGCCTTTCACTAACATCCACCGCCCCCCTCGGCAACAGAGAGAAAGACACTCACCTTCACAGCTCTGGACAACCTCAGCAATGAGAGTCGGGCTCTGCATACACCATCAAGCAGCCCGCAGCCTCTTTCGGATCCCACCTGGTCCACATGCCGCATATGTCCCTTCTTCCTGGGGGGGTGCTGCCCCCCTGAAAAATGTCACCCTCGGCAAATGCCTTGTGTGCCAGGTGGTAAATATGCCCCTGGTTTTGTTCCTGCTAACTTTTTAAACTAAAATGGAATATTGCAACAAAAGCTAGTTTTGTTATTTTCTCAATTAATGTTATATGAATATTTATCTTATTTTTGGCTGTAATTCTGCCTTAACATGTTGTTGCTAAAGCTCATCTGTGGGATAAAACCCAATTCTGCCCAAAATGCTATGGAGCAATCAGTGTGCATGAAAATACAGCTCTCTTTTAACCACTTCCAGTCCGGACACTTTTACCCCCTTCCTGTCCAGGCCAATTTTCCACTTTCAGTGCTATCACACTTTGAATGACAATTGCGCGGTCATGCAACACTGTACCCATATGAATATTTTAGCATTTTTTTTGAGACAGATAAAGCTTTATTTTGGTGGAATTTATTCACCGCTGGGATTTTTATTTTTGTTGCTATGAAAAAGTCCAAACATTTTGAAAAAAAAGAGTTTTTCTTATAACAACATTTTGCAAATAAGTAGTATTTCATCATAAATCTTGGCCAAAATGTATTTCGTTATCTTTTTAGTACAAAAAAAAAAAAAAAAACAAAACCCAAATTAATTTATAACCAAAAATTATAATTTTGAAAAATTTTTTTTACATTTTTTTTTATATTATTATTTATGTTTATTTATTTATTTTTTTTACATTCTGTCACCCTAGCACAGTGATGGCGAACCCGTGGCACGCGTGCCACAGCCGGCACGCCGAGCCTTATCTGTGGGCACGCCAGGAGAATCCAGCGGCGCGCTGTCTTCCCGGCTGTAGTGTGCGTGACAGCCGGGTCCCAAGTGCGCATGCACAAGAAGCAGTGCTCTTTGTGAATGGTAAGGCGGTACCTGGGACACATGACAGATCCCAGAAGCCGCCGGACCAATCACAAAGCGCAGCGCTTCTCGCGCATGCGCACTGGGCATCCGGCTGTCCGACGAGCGCCCACACTACAGAAGCCGGGAAGACAGTGCGCGGCGGCTGGATCGAGGAACAGGTAAGATAGAAAAAAAACTCTGCGGAAGTAAGAGCGGGTACCTATCAAATTCAGGTACCCGCTCCCCCCTCCCTCCCCAAAGGTCAGCAGTCATCTCCTGTACTGTCCGCAGTCTCTGGTCATCCCTGTGCTGTCCGCAGTCTCTGGTCTCCCCTGTACTGTCCGCAGTCTCTGGTCATCCCCTGTACTGTCCGCAGTCTCTGGTCATCTCCTGTACTGTCCGCAGTCTCTGGTCATCTCCTGTACTGTGTCCGTAGTCTCTGGTCATCCCTGTACTGTGTCCGCAGTCTCTGGTCATCCCTGTACTGTCCGCAGTCTCTGGTCATCCCTGTACT